TTTTTTTTTCAAGAGAAGGATGGTCTGCTGTAAATAGGAGCTGCCTTTCGTGAGTGAATAGGATTTTTACACGTTCCTATATTCTGATGTTCTGAGGAAGTGAGATATGTGGCTGGGTCACGAACCCACACAACATGACAGATGAAACACGGATGTCTTATCCGATGTAGCCACAAATTCATAGATGAGGAATATACGTTAAATTGAATGTTCCTATTGCATCTCCCTTCCCAATTAACCTATCCTACCCATCCCCTTTCCCATCCCTCCCCCCATGCTACCTATCCCCTCAACCAGTTCCCCCTATTTTCTTACCACGCACGAATCCCCTAAATCGACCTAACTCCCCTGGGTTTAGGGACTTGATTCTCATATTGAAGTTGACCAGACCACACACTAGAAGGTGAAGGGACGACGACATTTCGGTCCGTCCTGGATCATTCTCAAGTCGATGAGAATGATGTTACAGTCACTTTTGATTCTCATATGTCACTCTTTGATGTGGATTACGTCAATTACATCACCAGAAACTATTCCTCATGCCTCTGAAGGCCACCATCTGAAGGTTTCAGTAGTTTGGGTAGTTTAATTCATATATTATGCACCCCATGCCGTCCTGTATTGAAAGGGTTACAGAGGAACATATATTTGGCTCAGAAACTCAACCCCATAATTCATTTTGTTAAGCAAGTTACAGTATTGATGAGCTATAGTTACAAAATTTAATGAATATCGTCACATCAACAATGGGATTGAGATGGAACACAATTATAGTTTCTAAGTTGAGCAATTGATATATGTGGAGAGCTAGTGTCACAATTGATATGTTTGTCCTGCACACCGCCCCCCATCCAGTGGGCAGCGGTGGATAGGTTACACCGCCCCCTATCCAATGGGAAGAGGTGGATAGGTTATACCGCCCCCTATCCAGTGGGAAGAGGTGGATAGGTTATACCGCCCCCCATCCAGTGGGAAGACGTGGATAGGCTACACCGCCCCCTATCCAGTGGGCAGCGGTGGATAGGTTACACCACCCCCCATCCAGTAGGCAGCGGTGGATAGGTTACAATCAATCAGTTACTACCTACAGTTAGCAAACTGGGGGATATTTGGCTGCTATAGAATATTTGATTTACAAAAAAAAGAAAGTCGAGGATGCCAATTAACATTAAAAAATAATTGCAGCAATTATTGAAAGATTGAATTCTAGTAATTTATACACCTATAATTTTTACACCTGAAATTATAAACTCACCAAAAAGTTTTCTCATTGCATTCTAGATTACCTGATGTAGTTAAAACGTTAGTTAAACTAGAAGATGACTAGGGGAGGCTGATTGAGAATTGTCTTAGGGGAGGGAGGCTAAGGGAAGAGAAGGGGAAGTAGGGAAGAGGAGGGAGAGAGAAGGGAAGGTAGGAGAAGGTGTGTGTATAGCAAGCCTGTTGGCGGGAAAGCGAGTCAGTGTTGCCGCGGCGCCCGTGTGGAGCGGACGTGTGTGTGTGTGTGAGAGTGTGTGAGTGTGTGCAGCAAAGGAGAGACACATATGTGTCTTCCACAACCTAATATAGACTTTCTAAAAACAAGTTATTCGTGCTCTTCAGCTTTTTAAGAACTTTCATGAGATAGAATGTGTTTTTGTGTTCAAAGGAACTTTAAATTCTTAGAATTGAACTTGGGAATTGTTGAACTTTATTGCAACAGAGTTAACTAATTATTCTCTGATCAGCTGCCTGAAATCTTCACTTTCTCAAAGATCTACGATAAGGAAGAATGTGTTGAGTGTCGTATTTTATTTTGTATCGTAAAATAATTATTATGATTAAAAATGAAATGGATTTTGTCGAGAGGTGAAAAGATTGGATATCTTATGTTAGCTATCTACCAGATCAATATATGATATCTTGATGATATTCAGTTTGTACATGGGGTGGAGGTGATTATTACACTGTGGGTGATTATTTCTGATTATACTGTGGGTGAGAGATTAATATTGAATACACTGTGTACTCACCTAGTTGTGCTTGCGGGGGTTGAGCTCTGGCTCTTTGGTCCCGCCTCTCAACTCTCAATCAACTGGTGTACAGGTTCCTGAGCCTATTGGGCTCTATCATATCTACACTTGAAACTGTGTATGGAGTCAGCCTCCACCACATCACTGCCTAATGTATTCTATTTGTTAACTACTCTGAAACTGAAAAAAAATCTTTCTAATGTATCTGTGGTTCATTTGGGTACTCAGTTTCCACCTGTGTCCCCTTGTTCGTGTTTTGTCGCATGCTAAATATGTTGTCTTTGTCCACCCCCCTGTCAATTTCTCTGAGAATTTTGTATGCGGTAATCATGTCTCGCCTAACTCTTCTGTCCTTCCGGGGACATGTCGGGGACAGTACTGTAGACTTTCCTCATAAATCATGCCTCTCAGCTCTGGTACTAGTCTGGTAGCATGCCTCTGAATCATTCCTAATCTTGTCTTGTGTTTAACTAGGTATGGACTCCAAGCTGGAGCTGCATACTCAAGGATTGGTCTTACAAAAGTAGTAATAATTCCTTACATAAGTTTCTTAAGGCAGTTCTTATATTGGCCAGTCTAGCATATGCCGCTGATGATATCCTTTTGATGTGGGCCTCTGGGGACAGGTTCGGTGTGATATCAACCCCCAGATCTTTCTCTCTATTTGACTCTTGCAGCATTTCACCTCCCAGATGGTACCTTGTGTTCAGCCTCCTGCTAATTTTATCTAATTTCACTACTTTACTCACACTTGAGTTAGCTGTGAGGGATTACTATTGAGTGCAGTGTGAGGGATTACAATTGAGTGCAGTGTGAGGGATTACTATTGAGTGCATTGTGAGGGATTACTATTGAGTGCATTGTGAGGGATTACTATTGAGTGCATTGTGAGGGATTACTATTGAGTGCGCTGTGAGGGATTACTAATAAATTCACTTTATCTTAAGCCATGACAACAGATTGCATATTTTGCAGATTGCATAAAAATAACGACATATTTTTTTGCAAGAGAGTGCAATACTTCTCAATATATCTTGCAAGAGAGATTAATTATAGTGTGCTCAGTACAAAAAGGTGTAGTGTGCTTCTTGACCAAGGCGTTCTCAGTGTGAAATTATTCCAACGACAGTTCACTTGCCCTACTTAACTACCGGGATATTAATCTAGACATGTGATGGTCTGAAAGCACATTACGGTTCCAGTAATAGTCTACATGTAAACTGGCAAGTGAATCTTTGTACTAAACAGAGAATATTCTTGAGTTATAACTTTATTTTAATAGTAATCGTTGGTTTAAAATATAAAAAATGTATGTTTAACTCGTTTTCTTTTTAGTTCATGCAAGAGTGTATAATATTGCAGTATGCTGAAGTATACTTCATGATCGTAATTCATTCTCGGCCTCGTTAACTTCCAGTAATTAAGGTTTTAATTAAGAACAATACCCGCTGAATGAAATTAATATTTATTAAAAAAAATGAAAGTGCCAACATGATTGGCAGATGAGTAATTATTCTCACTCAATATCCAAAGAAATTATTGGTGCCTTGACAACGTGATTTTGTTTATATTGACTTAAGATAATATATATATATATATATATATATATATATATTATATATATATATATATATAATATATATATATATATATATATATATATATAATTAGACAGAAGCAAGTAAAGAGATGACGAGACGAAGGAGAGACTAGAGTGAAAGAGAAGAATAACTAAGGAAAAATAGTCAAATTAAAAAGAAAAAGGGTGAAATATTGGGACAGAGAGAAAAGGGAGGGATAGAGAGGATTGGACTGGACAGAGAGGAAAGGGTTAGAGAGAGAGAGAGAGGAAAAGGCGAGACAGAGAGAGAGAAAAGATCTGAGCAGAAAAGGATCAAGCCTCATATATCACATATATCACATATCATATGTCACAAGGGGTACTAATTATACTCGGATATTACTGGCTGTCGTATTTTCCTACTTTAATCACTTTTATTATATGCGATTATCGAACGCTTGCGCGATTATTTTATGCAGTTCCAAATGCTACTTTCAAGTCTGTAATTTGGAAGGGAAAAAAGTAATTGCGACCAGTGTCCAGCCGCATAATTCTCCAATTAGTTGGTATATATTATTAGTTACCCGGCGTTGCCCGGGTCTGTCTGGCTGTTTATTTGTCTTCTTCTCTCTCTCGCCTCTCTCTCGCTCTCTCTCTCTCTCTCTCTCTCTCTCTCTCTCTCTCTCTCTCTCTCTCTCTCTCTCTCTCTCTCTCTCTAAATACTAAATATCAGTATTCCTTTATAATTAATGACATGTGTACAGAATATTATATTTCCTCTTTCGAATCTATGGATCGGCTTCCGTTTTCTCTGCCAGTGGGAGCACAGGGCTCCGAGTAGAAGTTATGTGTTTCATGGTACTACAACCAAAGTTTGAATAGCAGGAAATTTATAGTTATGTTCCCGAGAGCATTCAGTAATAATGTATTGTCAAAAATATATAAGATTTTATTTATATTTGGGTTTTCAAAATATATTGGTAGGTGTAGCCAGTGGGCAGTGCCCAAAATTGTTATGGGTCGGAATGGGGGTATGCTGGGTCCTCTTGCATTCTACCCATCCCGACCAACCTATGTTAGCCCTCTACCCAATACCATTCCCCCTGCAAAGTTGGGTGCGGACGCTGGATAGGGCTGGCTTTGGTGCCTCTGTAAGACTGTATCGTTCAGGATTCCGCTTATTGGGGGCAAGACTTATATAAAGCTTGTACACACAATTGTTTTAATTACACAACGTATTTTAAATCACTGAATTGTTTCAAGTGTAGGTTAGACATGTATATATATATATGAATTTGGATAGTAATAAAAAAGACTGTTATACGACACTAGACTTTTTGCAGTTTCTTTAAATCTTATGTTATATTCTAATGTTTCCAAGATAAAATGTTTGAAAATACCTCACTGATAAAACATTAATTTTTCAGATGATAATGTAGAAAGATAACTAGTACACAATTCACTAACACAGGCCTGAGAAAATCGTGAATAAACACTTGCTTAAGTCGTTCTACTCACGTCTTAAGCAGCCCCAATAAGTCTGGACCTCTGTGGCAAGAGAGGAAAAGTCGTTCTACTCACGTCTTAAGCAGCCCCAATAAGTCTGGACCTCTGTGGCAAGAGAGGAATCAATTTTACAATAAATCTTGACTTCTACAACAATTCATAACATCTTGGGCTCCTCGTTTCTAAAACAAGATGTTGTTAACTCACTTTGAATAAGACAATGCCGATACTTATTGTGCTTGGAAGGAACTGAGTGTTCGCCTTCTATCTTCTGTTGTACATGTAAGTTGCACATGTAAGTTGCTGTAAGTGCTCTCCAATAATGCTTTTTCAAGTAGTATCAGCTGGGAGTGTAGCCTCGAAGCCGATTGGGGAAGAAAATGACAGAAAACTAAGCTGATGCTGGAAGTGTAGCACATGGATCTAAACTGAATAAATCCACAAGGGCCGTGACAAGGATTCGAACCTACGTCTGAGAGCATCCCAGACGTGTAGCACGTGGATCTAAACTGAATAAATCCACAAGAGCCGTGACGAGGATTCGAACCTACGTCTGAGAGCATCCCAGACGTGTAGCACATGGATCTAAACACAACAAATTCACAAGGGCCGTGACGAGGATTCGAACCTACGTCTGAGAGCATCCCAGACGTGTAGCACATGGATCTAAACTGAATAAATCCACAAGAGCCGTGACGAGGATTCGAATCTAACGTCTGAGAGCATCCAAGACGCTGCATTAATCGACTGACTAGTATGTAATGGATCTAAATTGCTTCTGGAAGTAAATGATCCGACCCCGATCTGGTTTTAGAAGCAGATGTAGCTATTCGAATGGCCCTAAGCTTTTGCTGGAAGTCTAAGGCGATATAGTGTTTGACCAGACCACACACTAGAAGGTGAAGGGACGACGACGTTTCGGTCCGTCCTGGACCATTCTCAAGTCGATTGCAACATCGTAGTCACCAAAGCTAACGATGGAAGTGGAAGCAGCTGATAGTGTGGATCCCCAAGTTGGTGTGGAAGAAGGCAGAAGTTAGCAGCGTCCAGTCCAGGTGGGAGAGTAGATCCAAACTAGCCTGGGATAGAGCAACAGCTGGCAGTGTAGTAGCCAGCTGGCTAAGTGTGGACAAAAGTTGTTGTGGGACACAACCCTGCTGTGTAGTGACCATCTGGTTCAGACAACAGGTGGAAGGTGGTGTCCCGTAGGTGTGCGCCACGATAACACAGCTGGCAGTGTAGTGTCCAGCTGTCAGACCGGTTTGAGGACACAGGAAGATGGATATGACAGCCTACTACACCCTCCTCGCCCTCCTCCTCCTCACGGCCCAAGGTAAGTCCCCTACAGGAATTAAACCCCGAGCAGACGAGAAGGGCTGGTCATTAATACACTTTAGAGAAGACACACAACCCCCAGTGTGTCTTAGAGATTCTAATCCCATTGAAACAACTAGCCAATTATGTCTAATGAGACCCCAAACGCACCTCAAATCTCCACTACCTCTCTGTGCCTGAAGCACAATTGCCTAGCATTTACGTTGATTGAGACATATGCCTTAAATGTGGGTTTTAAAGGTGTAACAACTCAACTAATTTCTTCTGAGTTACAGCCAGTAAGTTGCGTCTATTAATAGTGTGATATCTCTTAGGAACAATCCTTAATAGCCAATTATATATATGGAAGGACTTGCCCTTTAAAAGTGAATTGATGGAGGACTGGGCAGGTAGGTCTTTTCCTTGGGTCTAAGGACCAATTCCAACATATATAGAGCCCTATTCAGCCCACTGAAAAGGGAAAGGAGTCAAAAAAGTCATCTCAAAATCGAAAAGTCCCCCTGAAATGGAATAAGAAAGAATATATATAATATATATATATATATATATATATATATATATATATATATATATATATATATATATATATATATATATATGTATATCACGAAAATAAACACGTGATTAAGAATGTGACAATGTCAGACCACGGAGGAAAATGAAACAGGAATTTCCTTAAGTACTTTCGTATATTAAATACATCTTTAGAAGGAATGGTATATATATAATATATATATATATATATATATATATATATATATATATATATATATATATATATATATATATATATATATATATATATATATATGTAATCTGTATATATTTCCCGGAATGAAGAGGCTCGAGATACGTGGCAGGAAGTCCCTGCCAAACGTCCTCTTATCCGGTGAAAAATGCCAGATCTTAATATGAGGGGAAATGTGAAGGGCTTCCCCCTGGCGGTAATGGTAGAGGGGGATATAAACCGTCTCCCAATTTCCTCCCTGTCTTCATACGACTGCTCATTAGGTAATTAGCCGGAACCGGAGAAAAAATGGTTCGCATTGTTTTTAGTTAGTGTAGTATTAGGAGTATATGGCGAGTGGTTAGCCTGTGTGTGTGTGTCTCTCTCTCTCTCTCTCTCTCTCTCTCTCTCTCTCTCTCTCTCTCTCTCTCTCTCTCTCTCTCTCTCTCTCTCTCTCTCTCTCTCTCTCTCTCTCTCTTCTTTATTTATGTTTATTCTTACGTACACTTTGTTCACTGTTAGGCTTTCAGACTTCTGTTTTTCCGTTGTTTCTGTTCGGTTTTTACATCTCTGTTTCTCTTGTTCCTGTTAGGCTTTCACACTCCTGTTTTTTCCGTTGTTCCTGTTAGATCTCCAAGCTTCTGTTTTCCGTTGTTCCTGTTAGATCTCCAAGCTTCTGTTTTCCCTTGTTCCTGTTAGATCTCCAAGCTTCTGTTGTTTCCCTGTTCCTGTTAGATCTCCAAGCTTCTGTTTTCCCTTGTTCCTGTTAGATCTCCAAGCTTCTGTTTTCCGTTGTTCCTGTTAGATCTCCAAGCTTCTGTTTTCCGTTTGTTCCTGTTAGCTCTACAAGCTTCTGTTTCCCTTGTTCCTGTTAGATCTCCAAGCTTCTGTTTTCCCTTGTTCCTGTTAGATCTCCAAGCTTCTTGTTTCCGGTGTTCCTGTTAGATCTCCAAGCTTCTGTTTTCCCCCTTGTTCCTGTTAGATCTCCAAGCTTCTGTTTTCCGTTGTTCCTGTTAGATCTCCAAGCTTCTGTTTTCCCTTGTTCCTGTTAGATCTCCAAGCTTCTGTTTTCCGTTGTTCCTGTTAGATCTCCAAGCTTCTGTTTTCCGTTGTTCCTGTTAGATCTCCAAGCTTCTGTTTTCCCTTGTTCCTGTTAGATCTCCAAGCTTCTGTTTTCCCTTGTTCCTGTTAGATCTCCAAGCTTCTGTTTTCCGTTGTTCCTGTTAGATCTCCAAGCTTCTGTTTTCCCTTGTTCCTGTTAGATCTCCAAGCTTCTGTTTTCCCTTGTTCCTGTTAAACTTTGACATTCCTGTTTCCCTTAGTTCCTGTTAAGCTATCACTCGCCTTAAGACCTCCGTTCTCCTTCCTTTAAGACTTAAGTCCTTCCTTTAAGACTTAAGTCCTCCCTTTAAGGCTTAAGTCTTAAGATCATAGGTCTTTCCTCTTCGTGGTCTAGCCTACCCCCATCTCACCAGGGTTCCTGCGACCTGGGGCGTCCTGTAGTTATAATCATAGGGATTTCTTAACTTTACGACCGCCTGCGGCAAGTTATGGACACTGGTTCGAATCCCATAATGACCCATGCACAAATTTGCAGGATGTAAAGGGCTTTAAAATACTAAGGTAAATATTCTAAAGTTTTCTTGGTTCAATTTTGGAAAGATGGGTTGAATTTTTATCTTGTCTCTCTGGGACAGGATCTGTTTCTGTTGTGTTTCTGTCTCTGTCTCTGTCTCTCTCTCTCTCTCTCTCTCTCTCTCTCTCTCTCTCTCTCTCTCTAGTGATGGTGATACTCTGATACTGATGATATTCCCTCCGGTTGTGAAGATAGCAGTGAATTCATATATTTTCTTTCATTTATTCATTCATCTATCAAGAAATTACTTTTCAAATAATGAGTCAGATGAGTATGTGTGTTTGTGGGTCTGATACCTGTAGTGATGTATGTTGTATATGTGTGTGTATATGTTGTATGTGTGTGTGTATATGTTGTATGTGTGTGTGTATATGTTGTATGTGTAAGTATGATGCTTAACACCAATACTGATATATGTGTCTGTTCATGATACATGTGTCTGTTCATTAATACCTGTTCTGATGAATGATGTATGTGTATGTATATGTGTGTTTGGTGTTTAACACATGTATTGATGTATTTTGCCAGTGTACTTACCACCTGTACTGATGTATGTAGCATATGTATATTGTATACTGTCGTATACATAAATATTTGTTGAAAATATGTTTAATACGAACGTGTTTTAATGTGTTTTATCAACAATAAATTTGTTGACCAGACCACACACTAGAAGTTGAAGGGACGACTCGAGGGAGTGTACATATTGCTGATAAAACACATATACACATTCTACATAGTGTCCAGTGACTTGCCGGCAGTCAAATGACCTTTCCGGTTCTGTGTTTCATCTCCTGAATGTAGTTTCATCTAGAGGTCAAAGGTTATTTACCACTAAGTGTCCTGGGTCTCACATTCAAAGTGAAACAAGGTAAGTATTGGGTTGTTGGAGAGTATTAGAGGTAATTGAAGGAGGATTATGTTGACCAAACTACATACTCGAAATTGAAGAGACGACGACGACGACGTTTCAGACCATCCTGGACCATTATGAAGTCGATTGTCTTGATAATTTCTTGATGCCTTAATGTGGGGTTGTTAATGGGTATTTTAATGTCGGATGTTAATGGGTGTTCAATTAAATTTTGACGTGATTCGTTGATTTTATATTGTGTTAATATATTTGAATAATGAATCGTGTTTCCCAGCGTTCATTATACATTATGTATGTAGCATTATACAGGAGCATAATAGGCTTGTGTAAATGGGTAGAATATCACCATTATATCCTTCAGTGGAACCCTCTAGTCCTATGTATTCTGTGAAGGTATACATAGGACTGGAGTATTTTTACTCGACCACAGACTATACATAGACAAGATGGAGATAACTGCAATGGTGCATAGTGATTTATTAAGCACTCAACCTCTGAAGGTTATTGCGGTGCTTTTAAAGTGCTAATCAACATAGATACACTCTCGTCTGTCTGTCCTGAGAGGCTCAGTTTGATTAGTTATTTCCCTCTGGATCTTAATTTCGTGTAGAATAATTACACAGTACTGCAGATAAGGATTAAATCATCGAATTGTGCTAATTCCAGTAAGTATAGGTTAAGCGAGTTTATTAGTTTATTGTGATTGGCTATTGCAGTGTCTTAGCAGTTATTCATTAGTGTCCTTTTGTGTTAATTGTTTTTAATTATAATTTAAATTATTTTTGGATAGTTTAATGCCTAGTGTCTCGGTTAGTAATCTCTCGGGGTTCAGACTTTTAATCATATATTCACTAAATTCAGCGTGACAATGGGTGTTATGGTATCCCATTAATAGCTATTAATGGGATACTTAAGGTATTAGATCAAATAACAAGGAATTGATATGAATATCAAATCAAATTCATTTCGAACTCGAAAGGGAACTCATGCCAAAAAATAAAACTGAATTTCTTCCTAATAGATCATAGATTAATTTGACAGATTTAGCCAGAAATCAGAAAAGGCAGAAAAGTTTTTAACTCTAAAATAGGCAGAGATGGGACACTCGGACTTTTCCTATTTTCCACCAATATATAACGAAGAAAATAGGAAGGAGAGGACCGCTGAAAACTCATCAACTAGCAGATAAGGAGGAAGGGATAAGAAAGATACTAAACAACTATTTCAAACTAGTCTTTACTAAGAAAGACTTCGAAAATTTACACAGTGGAGAAGCAATCTATCAAGACTTTGGAAAAAAGACTGATTTCACCATCTAGATAGATGTTGCCGTCTGCTAAGAGGCTAAAAAGAAGGATGTAATTAGATAGACTTTAACTAACCCCCCCCCCCCCCAATCATGACGAGGAAGTTAGGAGAGGCCTAAAAGATATCAAGGAACATCCCAATGTGACACTTAAGGGCACAGTTAATAAATCAATCGAATGTGTTATTGCCCCAATTGCCTGAAGGAGTCGTTAAAGTGCTCCCAATATTCCAGATGGGAATAAAACTCCTTGTGTGATTTAACGACCATTAAGCGTGACAGCGATCGTAGGAATATTCCAGGAAGCAATAAATGGAGATTCAATAAGAAAATACCGAGAAAATTACAGAGACATATCCTGTCTTGCCAATTTACTAGTAACTTATTCAAGCGTATTTGAAGCATTTGACAGCAATATTAAATATAATATCACATATCTGGACTTCAGGAAGCAT